TGAGGTAGGATTTGATAGGCTACTCGAATCACTACTTTGCAAGTTTATCGAACTATCCGTTACAGGGACGGTAGAATGTATCAATGGTCCTTCCGGTTCTGTAACTGAAATCTAAAAAAGAATTTTAATGCTTAGTACATTAATCTAGATTCTACAATGTAATACCTACCGAAGAAGCATTTGTTTGATGCAATTCCTAAAAAAGAATATAAAAATTTTATAATTTTTAAAATTTTCATAAAATTTATTGTTTTTATCAGGAGGGGGTGGCTTTCGTACAGTTATAATTGAATAATCAGGGACGGTAGAATGTAGCGATGATTCTTTCGGTTCCGTAACTGAAATCTAAAAAGGATTTCCATGGTTAGTATAAAAATCTAGAACGTACGACCTACCGATGGAGCAGTGGTTGGATGCAATTCCTAGAAAAAATGAATCCAAATTTTTAAATCCTTAAAAAGTTCTTTAAACTTGTTGCTTTACCACAGGAGTTGATGGTTTTTGTGTACGAATCGAATCTCCAGATGGTGAGTTGATCGAACTATCCGTGACCTGAACAGTAGAACGTATCGATGGTCCCTCAGGTTCCGTAACTGAAATCTTAAAAAGGATTTTCATGGTTAGTATTTTATTCTACCACGTACGACCTACCGATGGAGCAGTGGTTGGATGCAAATCCTAGAAAAAGTAAATCAAAATGTTTTAATCTTTAAACAACTCATTAAACATGTTGTCTTTACCGCAGATGGTTTTTGTGTACTAATCGAATCTCCAGATGGTAAGTTTATCGAACTATCTGTGACAGGAACTGTAGAATGTATCGATGGTCCCTCAGGTTCTGTAACTGTAATCTAAAAACGGATTTTAATGTTTAGTATATTAATATAGGACATATTATCTACCAAAGGAGCTTTTGTTGAATGCATTTCCTAGAAAAAGTAAATCAAATTTTTATAATCATTAAACAGTTTATTAAAAGTGTTGCTTTACCACAGGAGGTTGTGGCTTTTGTGTACTAATCGACTGTCCAGGTGTTGAGTTGGTGGAACTATCTGTGACAGGGACAGTAGAATGTATCGATGGTCCCTCCGGTTCCTTAACGGTAATCTAAAAAATGATTTCAATGCTTAGTATATTAATCTAGAAGGTAAGACCTACCGACGGAGCAGTGGTTGAATGCAATTCCTAAAAAAAAGTAAATTAAAATTTTATAACCATTAAACGTGTTCTCTTTACCAGAGGAGGGGGTGACTTTTCTGTATTAATCGAATCTTCAGAAGTTAAGTTTTTCGAGTTATCTGTGACAGGAACGGAAGGATTTATTGATGGCCCTCCTTGTATTGTTATAGTCATCTAAAAAAATAATTCTTATGTAAAATTTTTTAATTAAGAATATTTCACAAACCGAAGGAGCATTTGGTGGATGGATTTCCTTAATAAAGTAAATACAAATTTAATTTCATCTTAATATCTTTAACTTAGTTATCCTTACCGCAGGACATGGTGGCTTTTGTGGGCTAATCGCATATTCGGATGAGGAGTTACTATTGTTCGATTTATCTGGAAGTATAGGATTTATCGAAGGTCCTCCCTGTAGTGTAACAGTTATCTAAAAAAAAAGGGGTTTTAGGTAAAGTATATTATTTAAGAACGTAACACATACCGAAGGAAAGTTAGATGGAGGTAATTCCTAAATTAGGTTTATAAAAATTTGATTAACTTTATAATATTCATTAAATTTTTTATCTTTACCACAGGAGATGGCGGCTTTTGTGGGCTAATCGAATCGGGTAATACGTTACCATTGATCGATTTATCTGGAAGTATAGGATTTATCGACGGTCCTCCTTGTATTTTTATAGTTATCTAAAAAATGATTTTTATGTAAAGTACTTTAGTTAGGCATATTATACATACCGCAGGAGCGTTTGGTGGCGGATATCCCTTTAGAAAGTAAGTTTAAATTTAATTAGATTTATAACATTCACTAATATTTTGTTCAGGGCTTGCATTTACTACTCCGCTCCTTGGCCGCGAGAAACAAAAAGAAAAAAACAAACATACGCGAGAGCCGAAGCACAAGAAACAAATAATTTGCTCTGCTCTCATTTGTCTCTCAATTTTTGGCTACGGCTACGCAGAGCAGAGAATATAATTTTCTGCTACTGCTATAGCCATATATCTCGCCACTCGCCGAAGCTCCGAGCAGAGCAGAGCACATCATTTTTTGTTGTTCTGCTATGGCTCTTCTTCGGCTCTCGTTAGAGTGAGAGCGGTAGAAATAGCAAAGAGAAATACTAACGTAACGTAACGTAGCTTAGCTGATATTTACCGTAGGTAAAGGCAAGTTACTATTTATCGAATTATCTGTGCCATTAACGGTAGAATTTATCGACGCTCGATCCGGTTTCGTAGTAGATATCTTGAAATGTAATTTTTTAGCAAAATATATAATTATTAATTGTAATACTTACCGAAGGAACAATAGGAGAAAGCAATCCAAAAAAAAAGTTAAGACAAATTTGATAAAATGTAGAACTTGCAGGACGTTGTGTAATCCCTACCGCAGGTGGGGAAAATTGCGATGGGTTTGTTTGAATGCTCAAGTGCCTGGACTCATTTTTGGTATTACTGTTGTAACGACTTTCATGTTTATGCTATTAAAATAATAAGAATATTATTTGAAAAAATATTGAAAAAACGTACTTACTTTATTTTCGGATTTTTTTATTGATGAACTTGTTTCTATTAGATGTTTCCCATGTCCACTTTCAAAATATTCTCCCGAGTCGTCTATTCTATTCTTTTCATTTTCCGAATGCTTGTGGTGATTGGGATTGTTCCCGGAACTCGGCTATGGAGCAAACAAAGAGATAAAAGTATGTATCCAGAATTTTGGATTATTATTAAGATCAGAAAGATATTTAAAAAATAAAGATTATAATGGACAACTTAGTTCTTACCACATTCTTCGGTTGACTGCTAATTGGAATCACGCATCTACCATGGATGGTAACATATGGTGGCACGCATAGAAATTTCGGCATGTAAAGGGCATTTGAAAATTGCCATAAAGTGTATATGGCCAAGATCCATCCAATACACATCTTGGTTGGTTAGTATCTTTACGGGAACTAACTGAATGCTGTTTAGTATGCTCATGTTTATTTTTAACTTCGCTTTAAGTTGGCGACACAAATTAATTCGATTTGCTTTATCCGTTTTCCTAAGTCTAACTAACTAACTATAAAGCAGAGCCTACAAGTGTATGAATGCTGATATATTCGGGACCATAAGAGGTAGAAAGCTGGGAGTAAGTTTGCATATATTGGAAATAAAAAAGCATCTCAAGGATGTTTCACCATCTTGCCAAGCCTCCCATAACTCCCACAAACCGCTGAACCAGCTTCTTTCTGCATAAACGAGGAGATCTCAGTAGGTACCACCACATCCACTTTAACTCCCATAAGCCAGGAAAAGATAAGGTGTTTATAAATTAAAATTTATGACTTTGTTTAAACTTATATTTAATTTTTGTCAATACCTCATAATTTACCAAAATCCAAAATTTATTTTAAGGCAGAGGTGCTTAAACTCGTCTTACGGCAGAGCATTTACTAGCACAAATATTGGCTGCGTTGGTGTGCAAAATTTCAACCCAAAATAAACTGTAAATTGCAAAGAGAAGTTACAAAGAGAGAATTCCAGTGCACTTGCACAAAGGAAGATCCAAAGAAAAAACGTACAAATTATACTGCAATTGTCGACGAAATGAAGTGGAACGGGGAAAACGAGAGAGTGTGAGTGGTATAGAGCAGCAAGCGCGAGCAAGCCCATATGCAGCGAGCATTTACTAAAACAAATGAGAAAAAGAGCATAGGTATTGAGCAGAGTAAAGGGTATCAGCTAGTCGCGTCACTCGACCATGGTGTTTCTAATTGCAATTATTATTTTTCCTAAATAAATTCGATAAGGCTTTTATTGCGGTTTTCTAAACAACTTTCTTCTAGCATATCGTTTAAAGCTTAACACCATCGTTGGACTTTACTCTTAGCTTAGAGCCCAATATGTACTTTAATTTTTATCAAATCACTTCTAAGTTTAAATCACAGTCTTAAAGAAGTCAACGCCATAAAATGCCTCAATGAGAATCAGGATGCTTGATATTTGCAATGAATAAATACAATATCGAATAAAAGCTCGGAAATAGGGAAATAAATTCAAAGTGACGGAAGTGGGGGTGAAAATAGGGAGATTGGCACGCATCTGACGTGTCAAAGTGACAATTCTTTATTTACATATAGCCCCGTCTCGCTCTTGGTGATGAATGACAAAAACAACAATGACAGCTCTCATGACTCTGGTCACATTTGCGTGCGAGAGCGACGTGAAGAGCATGCAAAAATTCGCAGGGTGCGGAAAAGTGTGGCCATGGCACAGGTAAAAATGCTTTGACATTTGTCAACGACACAAGTTTATGCACAGAAAAAAAGAGATATATTTTAAACAATTTTTACTGGTTTTTATATTGTTTTATATTTAAAAAAATTATTTTTGCTTTAAACAAACTATATAATTAAACTGCAATAAAGAAATTGTTAAACAAATATCTAAATAGAAAAATTTAAAAAGTATATTTTTGTTTATTGCATACTGTTGGACAACGTTATAAGTTATTTCTATTCCCAAAGATTCTTTGAAGTCTCTCGTTCTCTCTTTCTCTTATTATAAATGGCACCCAAAGTTTATTGAGTCACCCTTTTTTCCCAGTGCACCTTTTGTTGATATGAAGCCATCAAGTTGTGCACTCTGTTTATTTATCAACAGATTAGCAGGCAGTTTCGTTGGCCGTTGCCATCTCGTTCTGTCGCATCAATGCTATCTCTCTCTCTCTCGCTGGTGGGTGTAATGGCACATGAAATCGCAATAAACATGACACAGAGCGTAGCAACTTTTGCGGCATGTAGTTAAGTATAACTTACGCCCAGAGCGCTCATAATTCAAAAATTCTTCTTCGAATGGAAGGGGTATGATTCAAGGGTTGGAGGGGGGATGGAGCCGGTAAAATGGGTGTGGATGGGGGCGTTGGGTGCTCTGGGATTCTGCAAGTAACAGTCACGCTTTTGAGTGTGGGCGTGTGGCGACAGTGGCGCTTTCCCAGGGGTCTGTTTTGTCCTTTTTTCCATTGCCATCTGCCTCGAACTGTGAAATATGTTGCATACTTTCGTGGACACTCTATCTCTCTCCATCTTTTTGTATATATGTATAACCCCCATCCTGTCCTCTGGCTCCTTTGACTCTTGCGGTTTATTGTAGGCGTGGCGCGTGCCAAACTTAACATACACAATCATTTTTGTGCCACACCACATTTTCGCTTTCCACTCACGTCCCACGAAATTGTGGAGCAGAGGCATGGGCAGGGGCAGGGGGAGGGAACTAGTGGCAGTGCAAGTTCCAGTTGGCAAGGTCCTTCGGGTCTGGCGCGTATAAGTTCATAATTCATTCTTTCATTATTATTTTCATTTTCACATTTTCGGTTTCCTCTCTCTGGCTCTCCGTTTCCTTTGTGGATTTCCCTGGCCAGTTCTTCGGGGCTCCAGTGTCGTTGACAAATTGTTTTAAATTGCATTTCCACATTTCCACAAAAGTTAAGCAAATAATATTTGAGTTATTTAAGGATAAGTGGATTAAAGATAAGGTTAATATTAGGTTTTCAACTCTAATGTATTTATAACTCTTTTGTTAGATGTTCTTTCACCTATGTCATTGTTAGAAGAAGAAAATAATGCATTTTTGCACTTCAGGAAAGAGAGAAAAGATTTTTAAAACTAAAAAGAAGATATGTGGGAGATCAGTTGACATAAGTTTAGTATAATATATATACAAATTTATTTAATACATGTTAACTAAGTTATTTTTAAGATGTTTTAGAGGCTTTTCCTTACTTTTTCTGGAAACCCTATTTTCTTAACTAGAAGGCAGACCGCTTTAATGGCATAAAGTAGTTTTCGAAGTTAGTAAAATGGCTTACCGAATCTTAGAACAATTATTAAAGGCAATACAACAATCCCATTTTCCAGCCGACGTTTAATCATCCAGACTATTTAGTACTTTTTTAGTCTTCCTTTGTTTTATTCCCCCCCAACGACGACCATTTCTTTGCCCTGGCCAAAATGCCGTGATTCTATTTACTCGTGCCCAATGGGCCCTGCAGCCCAGCATATCCCTGCATCCAACCCGATCCCTAGTCCGATTTCGATTTCGATTCCGATTCAGATCCAGATCCAACAAGTCAAAGTCCCCAAACCAACGACGACATTTTGCGTTCGACAGCCAACGGCAAAGTGGGTGGTTTATAGGGTAGTTCAGTGGGTGAATCAGCGGTAGGGGTAGCAACAACCACAGACGCGTCTTTTGTTTGCTTTGACAGAGGGCCCACCCCACCCACTCCACCGCACAATGTGTGCGTGTGTGTGTGTTTTAGTCTGGATGGCTTGGCTGTTTTGGCATTGGAGGCTACAGATTTGCTCGCCAGAGCACTAAACTTTTATTTCTTAAATCTGTGAATCGTTTGTGCGCCTCGCTCAAAGTCAATATGCGGGCGCAAATGTACGAAATGATGAGACGGGCATGTCACTGGGTGGTTAGATTGCACAGGAAGAAAGAGGGGAGAGGTATTAAAAATATATATTAGAAGTGCCTGTAAATTCCCTTTCAAAAGGTGGTCAAAATTGTAAATTAAATTATTTTTATATGAACATTCTTTAGATCCTAAGTTATAGAACATGATAAAAGTGATAAAAGTAATATCAAACGTTTCAACTTTATTAAAAATCGTTTTAAATTAAAACCAACTAACTATAAAATCTCTTAAAAATAATCTTATTTATCCCAAAAACCTCAAGTTTTCTCTCTTCGTGTAATGACAACGTGGCTCGAAATGGGCCTGTGATTTTCCCGACGCTGCTGTTGCCGCTTCCTGTTTTTTGGAAAATCGGTTTTTGTTGATGCCAGCGCCAGTTGTTTAGACCCCGACAGCGCAGACTTCAGTTAACCCACTGCCGTCCCCCCGTTGGGTCCCTCTCGTTCGCCCAAATCCCCTCCCCACTTCCCCACCACCCCTAACCACAGCCCATCCATTGACCGAGCTTCTGTCCAGCAAACAACGACAACTGAAGTGGAGTTTTGTTTGTTGTCCGTTTGTCAATTACAAAACTTTTATTGCAATTTACTTTTGTTTCAAGCTCGCAGCAGTCACTTTTACCTAACCATCCACCCCTGCTGCCATACCACCCACTTTTGAGGTCGTTTCGATTGCTGTTCGTTGACAATTTCGTTGTTCGAACGGTTCAAGTATTTAATATAGCACTCGATGAAGTAATATCCATTCGCTTGTTTGATGAATTGTAACGGCTCGATGTTCGAGGACATCAAATAACGATGCCCACTGGATGCCAACGTTGTTGGCTTTTTGGGTTAGATAGGGATTGGTGTTTGGGCTAGATATGGGGGAAATTTTGATCGAAGCTGGCAGTTAAATAGGAGATGTTTCTACAATTCAAGCTAGGCTCGTTAATTGAAGTTTGATGTCTGTTGTTTTGGGTGGTACATCATGATAAATGGGGGTTAAGAAAGGGTCAAAATAAGTAAAATAAAAATCTTAAATATTTTATTATTATTATTTTATTACCCTACCATAAATTATTTAACAACAAATTTACAACTTTTCATACTCAACATAATCCAGAAATAAATTTTATAATCACAGAAGAGCTAAGTATAATTTCCATTTGAATTTTATTCGCTAGTTTCTACTTCTTTTATACATTTTTAATAAAGTTACCTTTTAACATCAAATATTATCAATAATTTTTATTAAGAATCACCTCATTTGAAAGTATTTATTATTTTTTTATGAATAAATATCAATTCCTTAATAAATAACACCCATTCCCTATTAACTCTATGAAAAGTAATAAAACTTTTTATAGTTTTTCTTAACCAACTCACCTGTTGCCTGTTTAAGACCGTAAAATATGAAGTATAAATCCCACTGTGTTTATATATTTAAACAAATTTATAGCCACGTTTTTTTCAAGTGCTATTGTTTAATTTACATTCCCATTTTGGAAATGAATTTGCGAACCCCACTGTGAAGCACTTCAAGCCAAGTGGCGATTGCCCAGGAAATGGCCAGCCAGGCCAGGCATTCGACTTAAAATTAACAAGTTTTTCTTTGCTGGCTTTTTACTACCGGCAAACGTTCAGTTCGAAGGGCCCAAAGGAGCGACCAACAAACGATGCGCTAATTTGACAAAACCCACATGAGGTCCTTCAAAGGGGATGCGAGGGGCTCCCATCCCCCTTTAAACCCAACGAGAGTGACCCACGAACGCGCATTTAGTGTGCTCCACAGGAGGCTGCGGTAATTTGCAAGAGGTCCGGCCCTGGTCCGCTCCTCTCTGGCCCAGACATACACATATACAATCCTATACAATCAAATAGGAATGAAATTGACCATTAATGTGTGGGGCAGGTAAATATGGGCATGCCTCTGTGTGTCTGCTCCTGGAGTGGCTATGTATGTCCATATATATATATATATATATATATATTTGCAATAGCTAGCTGGGAGTGCATTGAATAACGCCGGTAATACCCCAGAGTTCCTTGCCATTGACAGCCATTGTGAGTGATGTTGACAAATGAGCGATTGTTAGCAGGAAGCCGAGTTGAGGAACCTGCACTAGACACCTGGCTCGGTTCAGGGATATTTACAAAAACCGGAAATCGCATTACGGCAACAGGGAGAAAATATTAACGCAATTTGTGGTACTTGGTGACTGGTAATGGTTTTGAGATCAAGATAGGAAATGGAATTTGGTGATAAATTGTTTTGTATATAAAATATTAATAAGAAATTGTTTTAATATAAAGATAAATTCTAAATATATTTTGTATTTTTTAGGTGTCTTTTTGATTTTAGTACTCATAAGTAAGCTCTAAAAATATCTCAGATATCTCCTTATAAATAATCAAGTTAAAGGAAAAAAATAAAATAATCTAATTAATTTTATTAAATATTTATACAGGGTGGCCCATGTAGAGTTTGCTTTTTGAACTATTGATAATTTTGACTTTGACATTTCGGATGTCTTTGCCAATGTGTCAGATATTTAGTTGAAGGTTTGCGGTTAACGAAATGGTTAAGCTTACGCTCGAAGAAAATTGGTAAATATTGATATTTTTCTTCCCTGGGCCACCCTCGGAACACCCACCTGAACAGCTGTTTTGACGAAGATGGGATTTTTGGAGCTATAAGTTCTATAATTTCGTATTTTACTCTTCTTGATTAATCTTAAATAATACAATATACCTCCTCTTAATGAAACTATAACTAGGCCATACATTTAAAATATTTATCAGCAAAAACACCCGACAAGCTAAAAATGGAATTCTAATAAATTAATCGTGGAAAACACGAGCCTAACTTGAAACTTTTCGCTGCCAACTAATCATCTCGAGCTCTCTCTCAGGAACATTGTGCGGCATTTGGCAAACTCATTAAAAACTTTTCCTTATCGCGATGGAATAAGAAAAAGAGAAATATATATAAAAAAATGTCAATACAGTGGGAAGTCAAACAACCGACCGTTTTTCCCACCTGCATAATTTTTTGAGTCAACATTTTCGCATAACTTAAACATTTGCCGTGCACTCTTTTCCGCCATATTTCTTTTGGCTGGAAAATTCCTGGCGAACATTTTTCATGCTTTTCAACTTTTTGCCCGGCCAACAACAGCAAACATTTTTATAGCGCATTTAATTAATTAGTCGGAAAGTTTTTTTTTTCCTTTACTTGCCGCCCTTCTTCGCATATTCTTATTGCTTATTCTTTGGGAAAGTTGGCTGTTCATCAACTCAAACTCATTATCCCTTTCTGCCGGTTGAGACGACTCAAGTTATTATCTCGTCAACGGTCCCTCGATTATGCCGGGAAAACTCTTTTCCCGTTTGTCTGGAACACTTCCTTAAAATATTCATGCGGTAAACTCCATGCGAAAATGCCCATTTCCCCAGGACAACTCCCGGAAAACGCCAACGATTGTGATGATGCCAAGGTTTCACTCCCCCGTGAAATATTCATAAAATACTTAATTAATTGATTAATGGCCCCCAAAAGTTGAAAGTTTGGCTAAAATACTATGCAAGGTATCAAATTACCATTGGTTGTGGGTGGGGTTAGGTGGTGTTTGGGGGTCGATGATCATCCCGCAGGGAGTTAGAAAACTGGCAATTGTTCAGGCGCAAAGTTAGCGACAAAGTTTTGGTGGCAACTTTGGCATCTAATATAAAATTTATGACTGTCAGTTGGAGATTTTGGAAATTATTATTTATAAATTAAGCAACAAATTGGTAAATATTGCTTAGAATTTAGTTATTATTTGGTAGAAGTTAATGAAAGCCTTAATATGGCATCATATTTTTCATAAGTTTTTAAGTTCTTAAGGAGAGCCCGGTTAGCTTAACCTTAAGCCTCCAAAAATATATATTATTTGATTTAAAGTATTTAAAAATATTCAACAACAACTTACCTTTTTTCGTTAAAACCAAGAACCATTGCACTGACCTTCCATTGCATTTGATTCTAACTTTGTGAAATTTTTATATTTTCATATCAAATGCTATCTGTCAGACAGCTTTCAAGTAGGCGGGCTGCCATATTCTATATAATTATATATACACATATCCTGTTGCTTTCGTGTTGACATCCATCCAACCAGCCAGACGAATACCGACACTGGGAGCCACCCACTTTCTGGTTCCGGTCGGGAGACCCAAGTAACAATGTCACGCACACATATTTCCTGTCATTCCGGCATTTATTTCCTCACTTCGCTTCACTTCTACTACTTTTTTTTATCGCATCCCTTGTTAACACGTGCGTTGCTTCCCCATTGTTGCTAATACTTTTTCTGTTGCAGTGTACACTTTGAGAAAATGTCAAAAGGTAAAATAGAAAAATCAACAGAAATTAATCAAAGAAAGTCTAAGGATTTATAGCATACTTCTAGGCTGTAAAAGGATATTACAAACGAAAGTAACGAAAGTTTTAAGTAGTAGATTTACCTACCAGTTTCCTTACATCATAAACTAAAGGTTCGTAGTAATGAGTTACTATAGTAAGTTAGTAAGAAGTAAGTTAGTCACTAACTAGCTGTGAGCTTTTGCTACGTTAATATATCTTTTCATTGGCTTTCTTTGTAAAAGAACAAAATTTAAAAATATTTAATTTTATTTAAAAATTATTAATAAACCATAGTTCCATCATATTTCTCCCAGTGTATCTCTCTTCCTGTAATGCCACAAAAGTTTATCAACGCGAAAAGATCTGAGTTGCATGGCCATGGCCAAAACTGAGACCTGGACCTGGCTCAAAGTCACGGTGTGGGATAGCATGTGTAAAAACAAAGAAATACAGCAATAATATAATTATATGTTGGCATGACATGTAACGTGCGAGTGTCGTTTTGAGAAATTTTAACACGTTTTTTCCCCCTACAAAGTCACAAACTCCAAAGGGGCTAGTATTTCCAGAGTGATGGGATGTCATTAGAGAGACGTTTGATATATGATAGAAAAGAGTGCATAGTTTTGAAGAAATTTTCAAGCTTAAAAATCTTTGATTTAACAATCTAGTTAACCAACTTTTCAAGTAATCATTTTAAACTCCCATCCAAGCTGCCGGCAACCGCAAAAAGAATCTCCAACAATGGGATAACTGGCCATTTTTCGGTCGTTTTTGGTAATTACAAGACTCTCTCTCTCTCTTTTCGATGCCCCGGAATTTGTAATCAAAAATGCCACAAAAGCCACCGAACGGGAAAACTAATAATAAAACGCTTAATAAATCGTCTATCAAAGGCGAAGGAGCCGCTGCAACTAGCTCTCCTACATCCACATGGGGGCAGACAGAGTTGGCTGGAAACTATATGATATATGGACGGGCTAACAGGAGTCTGGCAGCCACAGTTTTGGGAAACGGGAGGAGGAGGAACGGGGTGTGTGTGCCACGTAAACTATGTAAAGCCGCAACTCGTCTGGTCAAAGAAAATTCTAATAAATTCTTTTCAAACGAAAGAGAGTTTTTTGCTCTTTATGAAACTTAGCACGCTGATAATTGAAAGATTGAGTGCCGTTTATACATTGTTCTGCCACGCCCAATTATATTAGCCATTAAAGAAGAATGTCTGGGCAAATGAAATTAAGGCCTGGCGGCAACAATGTTGCCCCACTGACTAGATAATATCGCAATCAAAATGCCAAATGCATTTTTTATTGAGTTAGTCAGCGAATGCCAGACCCAACGTCTCTCGCACTCTGACAGTCCGTCGGTGGCAATTGCATTCATCCTTCAACAAATTAAAACAAAGTTATATGCCACTGCAACATGTTTTTTTTTTTGTTGCTTTTCTCCTCTCTCACTGCCTGGCTGGCGGACAAAAAAATTATGGCCAGCGCTGGCGATCGTAAAAAATTTCCATTCCATTTCAGCTGTAAATTCTGCGTGTTGATAGCCATAACAAGTTTTCAGGCTTGATAAGTCAGGAGCACAACAGAAATTTGAAAAATTTAAGAGGATGAAGACTTAAATACCCTATAAAGAGTGTACATTTTAGATTAATTATAACCTTTTTAGATAAGAGCTTTTTATATCGAACTTTGAATCTCCTACAGAAGTTCTCCCATGACTTCCTCCCATTCAAATTCAAATCTAAATCTAAAACCAATAACAACCATTAAAAGTTGTTTACCAAATCATGAGTTTAAGCCCTGATTGCTCAACAATTTCCATAATCAATCCTTTCCCTGCTGCTTACGCGAAATGTAAACCCAAAAAGAAAAAAAAACCCCAATCGATGAGCCAAATTACGCATACGACACGTGTGCCGTGACATTTTTTATTCCTCTGCCATTTGCCCAGGTGAATTGCGATCAATTTTCGCGTGTGTGACAGTAAACTGAATTCGACATTGTTAAAGTAATTTTTGAAAACAAAAAAACAATTTGGCAAACAAATTACAAGCAATTTGAGGGAAATTTTCAATCAATTTTAACTTACGTCTGAACGAAATTCAACAGCTAGTTGTATGAATCAGGAAAATATATATATATAATGTGATATGGCAACTATCGTGCATGCCCTTTGTGAATGGTTCGATGGAGTCTTGAAACTTTAATGCACCCGAGCCTTGACCTCATGACGTTGCTTTCAACTTTTCCATATGCAAATGGAAATCAGTTGGAAACGGGGAGGAAGAGAGAGAAAGGAGGCCAGGCAACAATGAAACAGGATTGCGGACGTCGACGGCAGGTGAAAGGAAAGCGCAGTCGGCACAGGACTCACTTGCTCCTTAATTGTTTACTCCCCGCCCTCAGACAATCGTCGAATCCCTCTCTCAGGAACAACTTAAGCGTCATATTGAGCAGATAAAAGCTGCCTCTGTGTATCCGCCTCCTGTTTGCATTTCCTTTGTTGCCACTTTTTTAATTTATTTCTTAAAAGCAAATACACCGGAAGAGGTGATTTTTTGTAAAATGATTCAATCGTTATTATGAGTCAGTTTAAAGTTGATCAATTTTCGTTCTTTCTTGACAATTTCTTAAGTTTAACGTCATTTCAAAATAATATTTCTTTCTCTTTATAATTTAATGCACATAAGTCGTAACGTAATATACAGAACGTAAGAGTATGTTATGTAAAACGCATTTAATAGACCATTTAAAGCTTCAACTTTAATGTTTATATTCTGCCAGATCAACAAAATCAAAATTAAAGCATCATAGATTGCCTCTTTCCTTACTGGAAGTACTTCTGGAGAATGCCCTGCTCATAGAGTCGCTTTACATCGGTGCCACCGCCCACGAATTTCCCATCGATGAAGCAACGCGGGACGGTCCTCGATCCCGTCATCTCGCCAAGAACCGCCTGGATCTCATTGCCATCGTCACGCAGGTCCAACTCCACAACCATAGCCTTGACATTTAACTTCCGGAACTGCTCCTTGGCCATGCTGCAGTAGGGACAATAGGACTTGCTGAATATCACCACCTTGTTGTTGCTGATGGTTTCCCTCACGAAAATCGCATGCGAACTTTCCATGCTAACGAAGGGAGTGGGCCGCTGTAGGCTGCTGATCACTGTACCCATGGATCGAGAGGGATGGGTGATTTGTCCGCTTCCGAAAAAGTTGGGGAATAGGTGGAAACGAGGCTTAGGATTGTGGAATTTTGAGCTACTGCTTTCGACTGAGGTTCTTAGGGGGAAAGAATGACAGTTACTGAGTTTCAAGGGCTGCTTGGATGGGGAGTTGAGATGGGAATTTTTCAATAGTTTTTGGCAATATTTTTTAAATATTTTTAGCTCTTATAGCTTTCAAAGATATTCTCCATAAACGCCACCATAATTAAGCATTTTCAGGGAAACTTTAAACTTTCCCTTTTCCAAAGCTCGATTAAAATATCATTAAACTTTAAACAGAAGCCGCAGAACAACAAGTCAACTATTTTCCAGCTGTAACTGCGGTTTAGGCCGTCATAAAATCTCCCCTCCTAGCCAGGCTTATGACACTTTCACGCATTCTGGGCCCAAAAGCTAACCGCAGTAACCGATGGACGGATGGGCTCTTGGAACCACAGAGATTCCCAAAACAGGGATCCCTTTTTGCCATTGAGAATCGGGAGATGCTGAAGGCGAGACTCACTAATGAACTGAGGCGTTTATTTATGCAAAAGTTGAGACCTCAACTAATGGGTCGAGGACATCAAAGACAGGACTGTAGAGCCCCCTATCCTCCTGCTTAGAAAATCTACTGTCTGGCCGGAGTTTAAATATTAAATAACCCAAAGAGGAAAGCAAGTTTAGCTGAAAGATGGGATGGGTTTTTTGGTGGTAGAGCTAACTGCAGACATGTGGATGCCGGAGAAATCCTTTTCATTAACGCGGTGCTTGTTGCTGACTTCCTGCCAGGACCTTCTCTATATGTATATATGGCATATGTGTTGCACATTCACAGAGATATGCGAGTGTGTCCGCGTCCTGGTCGTAAGTTTCCGTGTAACAATGTAATTTATTGTGCGCACCTTTGTTTTCAGTCAACACACACTCAACGGCTTCGCCCGGGTAATAAAACAATTTCCACCATGTTCCAAGTTTCAATGCACAGAGAGAGTTGTTTTTAAATTTATTTAAAAAAAATAAATGTTAGTATATATACAAAGAATAAACGTATGACAAATTTTAAATTTAAGAAATATTTTTAGAAATTATTAAAGGATGTTGTTTGAGTTTTTATTGAGAAACTTTTTGTAAAATTTCGAACTCAAGTTGGTTAAAATCAAAATAAATTTTAATTCCTTTAAAATTTTGCCAGCTTTAACATTTTAATAAGACTTTTCCCTCTGTGCCTGCAACATTGTTGTCGCCAGAACATCGCCCATCCTCCCACACACACACACACTCACTATATCCAAAGGCACTCCTAAGTGGATTATCCTTCCTTGAGTTGCTTCAAAAAGTGGCACCCCCTCACCTGTCCAAAAAGAAAGACCAACTCATTATTGTTGCCTTGTCTTGTTCAATGGCCATCTGCTAACAATTTACACATATGTTAAGCGCCAGACCTTCGTCCTCAATCATCCTTTCTTCCTTTCTTTTACACATGCTACAAAATTTATCGCATGCAATAATAATTTCCCTCTCTTGGCGCCTGCGCAAAGGAGTTTAAAATTTCCTCTCAAACATTCCCTTTGAGTGTGCACTAGACCATCGTAATTGTTTTGGGAAATTTACTTAACAATCATTTTAAATTGTTCGCGGTTTTTCCCAAGGATTAGTACTTAATTTGATTAGGCCATTCAAGTTGGCACCAGCAAGTTCTCGTTGCTGGTGACGCCTTTTTATGGTTTCGACTGGAATTTCTCAGTTCGTTTGAGGGCGACCATTAAAATTGTTATTTTGTGGGGGAGAGGGTTTTATAGTGGGTGGGAGGTGGCAAGTAGTCAATGTTAGTTAACATCTAAGGAATGTTTTGGAATGGTTTTGTGAATGCTTTTTACTTATTTACAGATCTGAGAAAATCTACTAAGATAGAAATAGCTACAAGAATTTTTAGTAAATTTATTTTAACTATAAAATTTTTAAAAAACATGTAAAAAGTGTAACATTGAATTCAAATTACTGACAACATTAAATATATCAACTAAGAAAATATTTTGCTTTAACTTCTACAATAAACAAGGTTTTAGTGAATTCATTTTAAGTCATAATAAACTCTTTAAAGTAAACTTCGTAAATATAATAGAAGTTTACAAAAATCATTAATTTTGAGATTATTTAAAAGTGTTGTGTCTAAACAACCTTGGAACTATATAAAGTAAATTCTAAATAAACTTTCTAATATAAAATAACAATAAAGTACAAGGCTGAAGACCACTTAAGGTAATGCAACTTCTTCTTTTTGTTAATAATTTACAACTTACTCGCAGAGTTTAAATTTACATAAAGTTATTACATAAAGTTATTTACTATTAAGAACTTTTAATACAATTTATAGACTCTAACCCAAACGAATTAAAATAAATTCCGCAAATTCCCAATAAACTTTCCAACAAAAATGCAAATAAAATACAAGACTGATGACCTCTTAAGGTGATAACTACTTTAACCGTTTTCCCAATATAAATTCCCCATCTGGCAATTAATCTACGACTTAATTCACATCAATACCCTGGCTCCACACCTGACACAGATCGATAGCCATTGTCCGTTAAGTGGAGAAGGAGTTAGTTCTCATCCAAGAGAACTATCAACCAGATGGAATCACCCTGAAATCGCCTGACGAACAATGCCTTTGTCATCGTCTTCGGACTCCCTGCTAATTGCCAGCAATTTGTCTACGCAATTGCGTAATCCCAATGGCCCATTCCCCCGGCTGACAAATTAATTTCCAATCATTAACTCAGCTATGCGATGCCAACAGATACTATAAGGTAAGGGATTCCAAAGGGTTGGGTACGGGTTGGGTATGGGTATGGTGATGGGAAGACGACTCCTCAATTGATCACAATTTAAATGTCGGTCATTTATAGCGAGTGAAGGGTGAGGAGGATGAAGGCATGCCTTCTGACTGTTTCAGCTAATTGGGTTAGGCAGCAAATGGAGCAGAAGTCAGTAGTAGAAAGTACTTTGAACTTGCATGCACTGGGAGAAATCTAATGTGAAAGAATATATGGAAAGTATATGAACAGAGAGAGAATTTGGTGTATCTTAATTAGATGTTTTCTTATATTTCATGCTTTGTTGATAAATTTAAAAAATATAAATAAGTTCACAGTAATAAACAAATTCTTCTTTGATCTTGTATAGAAATTTTGCAATGTCTGAAATAAAAATTAATGATAAGGTTAAAAAAATATATAAAAATGATATTTTATGATATGAGTTTTGAGGATAAGAATAGAAATAATTTGTAAAAAATGTAAATATAATATTTTTTGATATCTCTGCTAGTTTTTTCCTTAAGTTTCCCTTCACTGACTACCTTTTTTCCCCTATTTTTTGTCTTTTCTTTGAAACAAAATATTTTCTCTGCACTGAAAAAAGCGTTGCTAATCTTAAGCACAATTCGGACTTAATTGATTAGGTTAATTAACATTTAATGTTCATAATTTTTAACCACCCAGTTTGCCCTGCTTCTTCATCCACAGCCATTTCCGGCAGTCTGCTGCCATTTACAAAAGTTGGTTATAAATTTCTTCATTAAATATTTTCATTCCTGTGCCACGCGCATTTCGCTTTCGAAAGGGTTTTCCACCCTCTCAAGTGAAAATTAAATGAACTGCGTGCGCTGTAATTATTCATGTGGGGATTTCCCTTTTCGCGCTTTCCCAGTAAAATGCTCTCGCCAGATGAACTTAGGTAAGGCTGGGTTAGCCTCAAAGAGCCAAAGTGCCTTTGCATATTCATAGTTCTTGAGATCGTGTGGGTAGTGAAGGTAAGTCAAGGAAATGTGGGTGATGACTTGGTGGGGATAGGAGAAGTGGAAAAAGGAAGAATATCCATCCAACTCAAATCAGTCTTTTTAATAATCGAAAGCTAAATTATTCCCTAAAAATCATGAGTTTTCTTAATAATTTTTAGATTAAGAAAAGGAATAAGAAAGTAGACCCCATAAACGACTTCTTGCAATACTTTAAATAAGTTATTATTAGTTATGTATTAAATAACCCACAAAGGAAATAACTTTATTTTTCCATCAATCTGAGATTACCATATCTCTCCTTTCCACATTGCAACTAAACAGGCAACATTTCCCCCTTTCCAAAGCAAATTTCAACTTTTTTCCCTGGCGCCTTAAAAAATAAAACTCATCTTAATCTGCGAATGGAAAAAAGACCCACCAGCTTGCAGTTGAGCCCACAGCTCTCCAGTTTTCTCCAGTTGTCTCGGCTCAACTCATCAACCCAATGCACATCCGTCCAATTAATCCAGTGCGTATCAGCCAAGAAAAGCTGAAGTTGAGGCTAAGGCTGACAAAAAAGAGGAGGAAAATGGAAATGGCAAAAAGAAAAACTAGGCACACCTGCGCGCCTACCGTTTTAGCAATTTTCCACACAAATTCCAAAGACAGCAGCCCGTCTCTTTCCCCTCAACCATTTGCTATCTCTTTCTCGAGGCAGAGGCAGAGACATAGACATAGACGGAGGCTGAAAGGCAAACGCATGATCAAATGTCACAATCAATTTCAATTTGGCGCTCGAATTGAGCTTCGTTAGCGGCAAAAGCTGGAAAAGCTGCAAAATCTGCAAAAAGAGACGGCAATCTGGAGAAAAGAAAGAGTCGAGTGGTTGGGATGCCAAAGTTGTAGATGCAACAGCCAAAGCCACTTTTTCTAATCAACCGCCTGTAATTTAACTAATTTGTGCAGCTCGTTGCAATTGTCTCACGTTGCAGCTACAACTGAAACTGCAACTGCAACTGCAACAGCAAACTGCTGCCGCTTCCTTGACAACCTGGCTAACCAAATATAAATTGCAAATTGCTCCCTGAATACCTTAGCAAGGCCAAGACAAGCTGAGAAGGCGAAAGACTGAATGACTAACTGGGAAGGCGGAGTAGTTGCAGTTTGGTTTGATTTTACAGGGAATCGGGATTTATATACTCCTAACTTCTGTAAAAAAATGTTTAAATATGTAAACTAAATGAGAGGATTTTATATGAAATAAAAAACATAATTAACCAAAAATTGATTAA